CAGATTTCCACCGTGAGATCGTCTCAGAGATGGGAGAGCTGGGCGTCCTAGGCCCAACTATTCAAGGTAAACAAATAAAAAAAGACTTAGTTTAAAATTTTCAACTTACAGTTATAGTTGAATAGACCACATGCTTGTAAATGTCTCACTCAAGTTCTCAGACTGACCTGTGCAATAATATTTTTTTATTTGTGCAAGTCAATATCATATATGTACTTAAGTTTTATTGTTTATATTTAGTTTACATTGTACATACTGCAATCTTTCATAGTTATTTGTGTTAATATTGTATTTTTTACTTGGTTATTACCTTTACTTATTTCACTATTCCCTTTTTACTGCTGTAACACTTAAAATTTCCCCATAGTGGAACTATTAGAGGTTTATCTTATCTTTTCTCATCTTATCTTATATCTATAAATGTCTTAATTCTTCTGTCTACGCTTCATGATTTATTTTTGTCATGTTAAGATAGTGGCCCTGAAAGCTCAATTCAGAACAATTTAAGAAAACGTTCAAATATACAAAACACGTGCAAATGGAGAAAACATCTTCACATGCATGGCAAATAGAAAACACACTGCAAATAATCACAACACAACCAAATACTCACAATGCAACAGAAGTGTTTCCAAGGAACACTAAAAAGTGAAGAACAACAACACTGAGGGATAGCCAACTTCAACTAGTAGCTTCACAAGTCACATAACATGGCAGCAAGTCTATCTCAGCCATGTTCATCACCTTTCTTGTGTCTGCTGAAAACATGTCCGTTGTGTAGTGAGTATTTACGGTGTGTTTTCTGCAAAGAAACTGCTTCTTTTCTTAAATTGCAGGCTGTCGACGTCTCAGGGCGACTGTACCATATACATGGAAGCGTTATTTGCAGGACTGTTCATTCCTATCTGTTTACCCTGCAGGATATGGCTGTGCTGGCACTAGTTACGTGGCGTACGGTCTAATTGCCAGAGAAGTCGAGAGAGTTGATAGCGGGTACCGGTCAGTCATGAGCGTCCAGTCTTCATTGGTCATGCACCCAATCAATGCTTACGGCACAGAGGCTCAGAAGGAGAAGTACCTGCCAAGGCTTGGTAACAAACGTTTTAATTCAACTCGGCATTCAATTTCAGAAACATCAGTATACCTTTATTTTAATCAGTATTGTGTGTTTGTGTTTTTTTATCTGCAGCTCGTGGAGAAATCCTGGGATGCTTTGGCTTGACAGAGCCAAACCACGGCAGCGATCCCAGCAGCATGGAGACCAAGGCCAAGTACAACCCATCCAGCGGCACCTTCACCATCAGCGGAGCCAAGACCTGGTAGGTGGATAGACACACACAAGAAGCACAGGCCCTTCTGATGGAGAGTTTGCTTGAAGCCACAAGACAATGAGAAGGGAGCTCAGAGAGTGCATACCTCCACCAAGGTTTACGGCCTATCTCTCCATGTGTAATAACACAAAATAGAATTCTGCATTTATTAAGAACATTTTATGGATTCTTTCTTAGGTTATGCCCCAACACATGAATGTTATGTAAAGGGTTCAGTGGTTTTTGTCAGTCCTAACAAATAAAAGCGGTTTTCAGATGTGACCTGGGAGTAAAGTCAGGAGAATCAGGTCCAGACTCGACCCGGAGTTGGCCTTTCACACATGCACAACGAATTGGATTATCAAGACTTTCTGCTTAACTTATACTAGGGGGCCAGGCGGAGAAAGTCATTCATCAATCAAACATTTCCGTTCACACGTGCACCTCCTCCGGAGAAAGTGCAGAGAATCTCTGGAGTTTAGTGCATGTCTGAAAGCAGCTAAACAGACAAACAATAGATTAAAACATATCCCCCTTAGTGGAGGTAAAAATACAGATGCAGATTTTTAGTCCAGGATAATGATTTTAGTGATGTAATGTATATAAGAAAAATAAAAATTGTTTATTCTATTGCAAATGATACAGTAAGAAACAATTCATTTTGTCCCAGTGTCCATAAGTTTTAGATCACTAATTAATTTGAAATATGATGTAGGTCTGGTATTTGGAGAATAATAATAGTAATGTAGTGCTCCTCTCTTTGGGTTAGGTTAGAGCCAGACCAGCTTAACTGCATCCCTAAAACTTTGTACGTGACTTGCGTTTGCACTAAGTTCTAAGTTCTTGGTGAATTTTCCTTCTCCCTTCTCTGCTAGGATCACAAATTCCCCCGTGGCAGACATTGCAGTGGTCTGGGCCAAGTGTGAGGACGGCAGGGTGAGGGGTTTCATCCTGGAGCGTGAAATGAAGGGTTTCGCCACCCCCAAGATCGAGGGCAAGTTCTCACTGAGGGCATCGGCCACAGGCATGATCGTGATGGACGAAGTGGAAGTTCCCCAGGAGAACCTCTTGCCCAACGTCTCTGGTCTGGCTGTAAGTGGCTACTCACTCACATCAAGTTAAATAAAATGTTCTTAAATATAACAACATGAATGTTTCTTTGGGCTTATATCTTACTTTTCTTTTGTTGTTGACCTTTGTGGCCAGGGTCCCTTTGGCTGTCTCAACAACGCTCGATATGGCATTGCCTGGGGAGCCCTGGGAGCGGCTGAATTCTGCTTCCATGCTGCCCGACAGTACACTCTGGACAGGTATTTTATATTCTGTCGAATGTATGTGTGAACATCAAAATCAAGTCAGAGGATCTGATAGACGCTGCTTTTGACCATAGAAACTCTTGACAGGAACTAGGATCTCCACCTCAGGGACCAGGGTCTAAATTGAGTTTTGGGTAGAATTTGTTACCTGTATCTGCTCAGGGACGTTACATTGTAAAAGCAGGAAACCTTTAGGCATCGTTTGCAATGCTAAACATTTCTGGTTGATCAAGTATCTCAGCATTTTAATTGAACCACTGTTTTAAGGTGTTGTGTTTTTAGTGCCAGTCTCTAGTAAATAATCTCAATGTTAAAGCAGTAAATCAAAATTGACAGTAGCACGATTTTAATCTTGTTGCACAGTGTCGCACAGATGTTTGTCTGGCTGTTGTCTTATGTCATCGTTGTTGTTTATTCTTGTTGTATTGCCACCTGTTGGACTGGAGTGCAACAGCTTGTTGTAGCTTTTACTTTTTCATAATGTAAACAGGCTAATTTGTCTACTCCTTTTGCGTCTTCAAACTGCATTAGAAAAGTAGCTTTGTAGTTGTTCCAAAAAAATTCCTGGGACTAAAAGATCTGGGTGGAAATGCAGCTTGATTAAACAAGATATAAATCCAGTTATAAATGAGTTTAACATGAGTGTCATACTGGTTAGACTGTCTCCCCCAGTTCAGCCAGCCTAAGCTTTCTTTAGAGGTCTTTAATGTTTTTATATCCACCAATCAGAATCCAGTTTGGGGTGCCACTGGCTAGGAACCAGCTGATGCAGAAGAAGATGGCTGACATGCTGACAGAGATCACCATTGGTCTGCAGTCCTGCCTGGCCCTGGGAAGACTCATCGATGACAAGAAGTGAGTCTTTCTCTTTCTGTATTCTAATTTCTTTCACATTACTTTTGTCTTCTGTCAACCACTTCAATAAAAACACCTTTCCTTCTCATTATCTTTTAACAGAGCTGCACCAGAGATGATCTCCATGCTGAAGAGGAATAGCTGTGGCAAAGCGCTGGATATCGCCAGACAAGCCCGAGACATGTTGGGCGGAAATGGCATCTCAGACGAGTATCACATTATCCGTCACGTCATGAACCTGGAGGCTGTCAACACATACGAGGGTAGGCACACACACATGAATGAAGGCACTGCTCCTAAATTTTAAAGATTTACCAAAGTACCAAACACTCGGTTTTATGGTGAAAGTGCAGTCATGTACGTCCTCCACCAGAGGTCAGCAGTGCACAGATTGTTAGAGGTTGACAATTGATTAGTAAGGCAGATTTTAAAAAGTCATTAAAGTTGACTAACAGTTTTTTAAAATTATATCTTAATGGTTAACTCAAATATTTCTTTAAATGAAATTTAATTAATTCATTATGATTTATTTGTCTATGTTTTTTCTGATTTTTCTATAGGAACTCATGACATTCACGCCTTGATCCTGGGCAGAGCCATCACTGGACTGCAGTCTTTCACTGTTGGGAATTAAGGGTCATTCCACTGTCTTCTGAAAACTGACTTGATGCAGATTTGATGCTGATTTGTGGCATACTGCTGCTCATGTGCCCAGTGAGAAACATGTCATCTCTGTGCAAAACTCTTTTTGTTGAAACATGATGAGCAGATATCATCCTCACATGAGAAGTGATACCACAAACACAACTACACTACACTGAAGGGAACCATCTATGACCCCTCTGTCTGGTATCTGAATATGTAAGAACAACTGAACAAAGCATTGGGTCCAAGTGAGATCTTTGAGGGACATTTGTATGGTTAATAAAAGGTATTTATATGTCTATAATGCATGAAAAGGTGGTATTATGAGGATGGTTTTTTTTCTTCTTAATTGAATAGTATGTAAATAAGTGGTTAGAATGGGTTCTGAGATATGTGTTTGGAAATAAATTGATACTCTGTAATCAAAATAAACCTTAGTTACTGGTAGTTCAAAGATTGGCTTCTCTGGTTCATTTTGGCATGAAAATACACAACAAATATAAAACACAGAGCCAAATAATAAATTAACAATTTTGCTCTTGTATTTTGTAGTTTTATTTAAGGGCTCAACAGATATTGAAGTGGAACATAAATATAACATGCATTCAGTTTTTGTTTTCTTATTCTTTGACTGGAATCGTGGCCTGACCTGACCTGAGCGACATAGAGTCACAGACAACTGAGTATTCTTGGAACAAGAGGAAGAAGAAAGAAGGAAGAGGAAAACAAGATGAGCAATCTTATCCAATCCAGCATTTGGACAAACGATTTGAACTCTTCTGTATACTCAATATAATAATAAACACAGGAACACAAACGTATTCACAATAACAAATCAGTTCAATATAATTTGGATATTAGAACAATTATTAGTTTATGAGGACTCTTTCATTGCAATGGCCAGACCCTCTCTGAGACCTGCCAGGGCCTGGTTGGCCTCCCGGAGCTCATTACAGAGTTTAGTGCAGCTATCCAGTACCTCAGACAACTCCTGCAGCTTCACCTGCATCTCATTACTGTTCTCCTCATAAACCCTGTACATGTGCTCCTTCATCTGCTGACACGCCTCTGTCACCTGTCCCCAAAAATTATGAAAAAAGAAAGATGAGAACGTTTTTGCAGGTAGTGATAGTGCAGCATTCACTGTCATGAAAGTTGTGAAAGGATTATTTGTGAAATATGGACAAGACAAGACAAAAAAAAACCCCACTGATGTGTACCTTCTCCACCAACTTCTCATGAAAGCTGTCCAACGCTTTCTGGTCTCCGGTGCGGCCATCGTTAATCTTTTCTACCAGCTCCTGCGCCCTTCTGCTGATGTTGTCTATGCTTGAGCTACAGTAGATACAAGTGTTGACATAAAATCCATCAATGTCTTAGTCAATCAGGAACTATGACATCATTACAATAACACAACATGAATTATTATTGCAGTGTGTGTGTTGGTCTGTAGGTGATTGTTGACCTCATATGATGCTCTTGAGTGTTATTCATGCGTGCAGTTGAAAACTTCCCAAATGAGGAGTCTTGGTCTGTTTCTACCATCTGCGATGCCAAGGACAAAGAAACAACAGTTATAAACAGCACAAGAATATTGAGTTTGGTGAGAACAAAATGTTAGTTTGGTGAAAGGTATTTTCAGTGTGGGACAACATGGGAACAAGTTGGGTCGTGTGAACAAGTTATGATTAAAAAGCCTATTTATCATTGCATCTATTTAGGAATGAAACAGAAAACAACAGTTCACATTATGCTGCCACATCTTAATCTCTCAAGGTCTTTTTTCACACAATATATGCAGGGTTGCCAGGTTCCTGATTTTCTTTGGGCTACATTTATTTTGTTGTCCACAGTTGAAGTAAATCTGTTTTTCATGGAGGGATCCCAAAGCACCCAAACATGATGCAATGGAAAACATAGACAGTCCCCTTCAGAAGCTTTACTGTTTTGTCATTTCTTTGCTGTACAGAGATCAGGTTTAGCCTTTTACGAGATTAACAGGAAAACTGAAATGATTTTAAATCTGTTCATTTTCTGTTTACACGTAACACACAAACTAAAGAGTCCAGGCAGGATGGAGGAGGAAAAATTAAACCCAAGGTTGTGCACCAAGTTCACAGAGTTATATTTTATTTCTGACAATACTCAGTGTCTAATCACACAGGGCCAGAGAACCATCAAGGTGAAACTGCTTTGAAAGCTCGAGCACGAGACCTTCATCCTGTTCATGCTGTCTTTGTACATCACAGCACGTGTGGCAGTGATGGTGATGCTCTTGAGAAGCAGTGCATACACAATGGCTGCAGTATATTCAGAGATGTTTTTGTCTCGCAGACCCGTCCACCCAGAACGGCTCTTTGTTTTTCCAAGAGAATCTCACTCCGACAAGCCCACATCTTGTTTTCACACCTTTAAAAATGCTGTATTCTGCTTTATTATATGGTTAAATGTTACCAAATGAGACTCTTCATGTCCCTTCTTAGGAGTGGACTGGGAAGTGGACGGTATTGTCATGTCGTTGAAGAAAAGATCCATTTTGGTTTGATTGAACCTCAAGAGAAACCTGAATTAGAATAAATCATAGTAATAAAACAGATTAAACAACATTACCGGGAGAAATCAGTCTGAATCGTGTTTACACAGAGATAACAGTATGTCAGTACTAACAGCTAGCATTAGCACCATTACCTTTAGCTAAACCTTGGCTGTAAAACAATAACTTTAACTTCACACTTCCCCACAGAACAGATATAATTATATCTAACTTACACTTTAAACTATCTCACAAACAAATGGCCCCACAAATTGTTTTACTTACAGAAATAAAGCTGCGATCAGGACTGAAGTGTTGAGTCAGTGTAGCTGTCTCTGTACTAATGCTAACCTCTGCTAGCTAATCTGCTGGTTTCCCTCTATGTCATAATACAGGTTGCTAAAATAAACTTTTTTTTATTTTGACACAACATGAATTTAAAAAAACATTGATGAAATGTTAAAAATATGTGTGGGATGTGGTAGAAACCAATAATGACTTCTAAGAAAACTAAAACCAAATGCAACCTAAAAGGAAATAAATCAGAACAAAATAAAATAAAATAAAATGAAATACAAAACATTCAAAATCTTCCACGCTTTGTGGATAAAATGAGGAGGTGCTCTCAACTAGTAGCAGTTTAAGAATAAATACT